AGTTTCTAAGTCTCCTAATATTTTTTCTCGCTACAAAACAAATGTAACAGAGACAAAAATTTGTGAAGAAATTAGCAAAAAAGACATTAAAATTGCAATAAATTTTGAATGAATTGTAATTTTAAAAAAAATCCAGTTACGTTCATAAACAAACATGGCCATTTCATATGACCAGATTTCTGAACCTTTATTTGAGGAAATATCAGTCTAAAAATATTATGACTTGAGAACACCATATATTTACGGAAAATATTAATTTATGTAGGCAAAAAAATTTTAAAAAAAATAATAGCTAATATCAGATGCAGAGCCTTTTTTATCAAACTTGATTTCATTGCCAAGCAGTTTTGTCACATAATTTTGTTATATAATATATTATAATATTCTGCATTTGCTTAACACTTGTAAAATAAAATTGTACCTGATTATTAGTCTATTTTTTGATGGAATTTTTTTCAGGTGAATATGGAGTTTCCATAAGTTAGTTTTAGCAAAGGTACTTTTTTTGCTTTTCGCTCGTTTTCGTCGTATAAAAAATTATATTGTTAAAAAAAATATGCTCATGTGTGATTTTTTTATACATTTCCAGCACTGCAAATAAAAAATGGTGAGTGGTTTTTGGACAAATTCGAGAGCATTTAAGGATATATTTTAATGTTTAAAGACAATTTCAACGTCAAATTTGAAAGTTTTGAAGGACAATTTGTAGGGTGCCCTTACATTTGAAGACGTCTGGTCACTTTACCCTTTGAGCAGCATGCAGAATTTCAAGTTTGTAGTTGAATTCCCGCAGCCTTCAAAGTTTTCAGCTCAGTTTGTTTCTTTTCTTTTCTTTCTTTTTTACTACAAGTTTAACAGTTAGTAATTTTCGGACAAATTATCGAATGTTGAATTTTTTATTCCATCGTATTTTCTGCACACCTTTGTAATTTCAAGATTTTAAGACTTGTATTTTTTCATCAGTAAAACAAAATTTAATATTAAGTTGAAGATCCAAAACTACGGCGGCCTTTATGATTTTTTAGCTTCAAGGAATATTTCTTTTCAATAAAAAGGGAAAACATTTCATCTCTCGTTGTTGTCGTTCATTGTCAGATACTCTCAAATACGAAGAGTATAAATGAGTGTTTTTGCTTGTTAAAAACATAAATTAACAACAAAAAAAAATCTTATTCGGAACAGAATGTTAGTTGAATATACCGATTATTCATTTACTCTCATGTTTTTGCTCTAAAACCCGTAATTTTCGCATCACTTGTTGTCTTGTAAACAACTAAATAAACGAAATATATCGCTGAAATCTCTCTCTTTCTTCACGCATCTCGACTCTTGCATCATCATTTTTATGACAACCAATGGAATTCTTCGAAGAGTAACGTCAATGCAAATACGGAAAATGCACCGAACCATGAAACAACAAAAGTTAAATTCGAATGGAATATTTTTAAATTTATAAATAAAATATTTACTTATGAATTACTATTCTTTTATTGGATTAATTCATCAACACTAAAACATATGAATTATGTTAAATTGAAAACAGAGTTTATAGTTAAAAATATGAGACGGAAAAAAATGGATTTATTATTATAGTCAGGTCCTCCATTTTATTGGGTTAATAACATCTATTTATTATTAAATAATGAATTTATTAATTAAAAAATTTATAAATTGTATTTTCTGATACTAAATATATATATATATATATATATATATATATATATATATATATATATATATATATATATATATATATATATATATATATATATATATATATATATATATATATATATATATATATATATATATATATATATATATATATNCCTGTTTTATGTTATGACTCAATATATATATATATATAAAATACTAAATAAACAACTAAGATAGTGATTGAATAAAAAAAAAATTTGGTTCGAAAAAACTTTTTTCAACTGGTATTTTATACAAACTTTCAGAATGAGTTTTTTAAAGAAAAAAAAATTAAGTTAATATTCCCAAATTTCAATTCTTTTTAAAACCAATTTTCATTAAAAATTATGCATTTAGAAGTTTTTTATACTGTTGATTTAAGGCTGTGTTGTTTTGCAAGTTCAATTTCAATTTAGATAGTGAAAGCAGCAGAAAATACCGTGTGTTTTGTATTTCACGAGTGAAAAATCTACAAGCAGTTATGTATGATGATAATTTAAATATTTGAATTAAAGAAGATGGATCATTATTGCAATTAAACACGGTGGCAATTTTAATATTTCAATGCAATAAGATGAACAATTATTGAAGTTAAATACGATGGCCATTTTAATATTTCAATGCAATAAGATAAACAATTATTGAAGTTAAATACGATGGTCATTTTAATATTTCAATGCAATAAGATAAACAATTATTGCAGTTAAATACGAAGGTCATTTTAATATTTCAGTGCAAAAATGGAATATTATTGCAATTAAATACGGTGATAATTTTAATACTTCAATTTAATAAGTCTATGATTTTAACGGTCTAATTAAAATAAGATGATGTTTTAATGTTTCAATTATATAAAATGAATTATTATTGAAATAAGATCAATAAGACCAATGGTGTTTCAATATTTAAAAGGGTGACTATGATGTTTTGTAAGGTAAAATTTATTATTTTTAAGGCGCATGTAAATCATAAAGGAAAACATAACTTTAGGGAATCACCTGTAGGGACAAGAAGTTACAAATTACATACCGGCGAAATTCGAAGTGACTATTCCGTACACATGATATATAATTTGCCTGTCACATGATAAACTACTCTGAAAATGCAGGATAAATAAAGGATTTGCAAATCACTCTTCTTATTGCATCAGATAACGGAAGAAGACATTGAAATGTTATTTACAAGAAAGTGCAATATATATTATTCTAGAGCGATTTACTGTCCTTAACGAATTGTTACCTGTTTTATGTTATGACTCAAAAATTTTTAATATATATAGTTTAATTTTGTTTTGATTAATTCAGACCACAAGAATTCATAGAAAATGCTATTTCATTTTCTTCTGCATTAAAAAAAATTCACAATATCCAAATAATTTTGAAATATTAAATTTTCCTTCGAAATTGTAAGAAACGAAAAGGCTAGCTTATATCCTTTTTCCAAGCTGTCTTTCTATTCTGCCAAACTCTCTATAGTGTGGAGGTTGCAGGTTCGATTTTCACCGTAACTCACCGAATATATTTTTGTTGTTGTTGTTAATTTACGTCGCACTAGAGCTGCACAATGGGCTATTGGCGACGGTCTGGGAAACATCCCTGAGGATGATCCGAAGACATGCCATCCCAATTTTGATCCTCTGCGGAGGGGATCACACCCCCGCTTCGGTAGCCACAGTTCAACGAGGACCCATGCCGCACACCCTCGGTCCCTACGCAGACTGATCCAAGTGGTCACCCACCCGCACACTGACCGCAGCCAGTGATGCTTGACTTCGGTGATCTGCTGGGAACCGTGTCTTAACGATCAGTCCACTGCGGGACATATATTTTTGGGATGCTGCGCAATCTGCTTTTCAATTTGACAAAGCCTTATAGTCCATCTTTGTAATGAGTACACACGCCCTGCATATATGTTGTGCAGGAATGAGCAATTAACGCATATATATATATATATTGTAGCATAGCAAATTGAATTCNAAACTTATATATATATATATATATATATATATATATAAAATATAAATATAATAATAATAATAATAAGCAAAGCTCCTAACCCCCCATTGCTTACATGAGACCTATTTTTTTTAAAAAAACTCTGGCATTTTTTTTAATAAATGAAGCTCTTGATATAAATGCAGCTGAGATCTGGAAAAATAATTATTATTTTCGATTCATAATTTGCCATGTCACTAGTAATATCATGAGAATATTTGTCATGTCACTGTTTTGAAATTCTTTTACTAAAAAATTATACCTGATTTAACACTGTATATACGATATTAACGATCATATTAACGATAGGATTGAATGTAATTCACACTATAATTGATTTAACTTAATATAATTTCAGAGTTAAGTGAATATAAGAGTTATTAAAAAAACACGTGAATAATAACAGGTAAATATTATTTTTTTTATTCATCTTGAATAGCTGCTAACTTGTGTGGCAGTTGAGACTAATTTTTCTTAGTGGTAGCAACATTATAGTGTTTTGACGTACTAAATCTTCAATTTAAAGTTTCAAAAAACATTCCAGCCTACCACGAAAATCAATAAATAAAAAATATGTAGATATGCTCCATTTTTAGCTTATTTAGCACCTATATGTTTAAGTAGTTTAATTTTTAGAAAATACTTCCAACTCAAATTGTTGTTTTACTACCATTTTGTGAAATCTTTTCCAGCGACCTCACTAGTATGCTCTTGTTCAGAATTTTAAAATAAATTCACATCACTTGCCATTTCACAAAAATTCGCATCGACGTTTTAAGAGATCACGTACTTTCAAAAAATTGTTTTCACTTATTTAATGTTAAATTATTGTCACAAAATTTTTGAAGCACGTTGAAATCAAATCTTTTTAAACTACCACTTCGGTTTTTTTTAAAAAAGATTTTAATTAGTTTAAATTTTAAAAAATGTACTCACTGAATACGTGAATATTCTTTCTTAAAAATGTGTGAATGTTCTTTCTTAAATGTAATTCTTTTCATAAAATTTTAAAAAAATAATCAGGGATTCTTTTTTTTTAATACTTCAGAATTTTAATAAATTAAACTGAGAAAACTGAAGAGAAAAAAAAAGCTTATCTTTTCCCGTTGAAATATTAAAACAATAAATAAATGAATTCTTCATAATGATATAAAAATATATTTTAAAGGAAGGCTGAAAGTGTTGGTAACATTGGAAAACCGATTGCGGGTGAAACCTTAGCAACCCATTCTAATGACAGAGAGCGTGCAGTTCTGGTTCCAGCCAGTCCACAACTCGACGCTGATTGGCTGGCGAGAAACTGGAGGAAAAAGCATTCTGAAAACGGCGCAGAACAGCTGATCTCTCTTGCCGGCATTTCGGGAAAGAGAAGGAAGAGAAAGAGAGAGAGAAGGAAGATTATGAGAGCTTGCACAGGGAGACAAATCTATTCTAATTCTTCTTGACCTTTGGTCAATTATTGGTCATCTTTGAAATGACACTATCACGGTCGTGCCAACATCATCTATTGCCCATGTCTCCGACATAAAAGACATCAGTGTTTGTGTGTGCGTGTTTTTCATCATTGACATTTTTTTTCCAAAGAAAAAGAAAAAAGTTTGGGATTATTGTTGTTGTTTGTATCATATGAAGTAAATATGCCTCCGCTGAGAAATGGATCATCCTTGTATCTTAATGCATCAGGTATGATTTCTTAATCACAGTAATTAGTATCATAAAGTTATTAAACATGATGTGTCTTGTATTCCAGCAACTGGTTCCTTTGAATGATGATATTGCTAAGAAACATATAGATATATTATCCAGAGTATAATAAAACGATTATACAATAAAGTACAATTGATTATACTGAATTGATTTTGTGTACTAACCGAAATGCAGACTGATTTCTGACGATATATATTCTCTCTCTATATATATCCTTGTTTCTTGCTTATAATGACTGATTCAAAATATTTACATTAATTGTTAAATGTTTGTTTTGACTTGCATCTTAGTTTGAAATGATACAACAATAAAAAAATCTCAAATATAAATTTTTTGTGTTTTAGCAGTCTAATATTCGATTCTTAAATCTTTAGTTGCTGAATTAAAAAAAAAAAATGATCTCCTAAATTTGCCTTTTGAATTTGCTGAATGATCACCTAATGCTAAAAATGAAACTTTTCGATCTAATTCTCGATCGATTTCCCTAATCGATCATAGCTACTTAAAATTCAAGAGTTTTGCTTTTTGGCACTTAAAAATGCATACGTAAAATATTCTAAATTTTTAATCATCTAAGATCCCAGATATGAATTTTACTTCAGTTGTTGAACTTTTGAAAAATTATTATCTAAATATGTTGTTCAGATTTGCTGAATGATTCAAACTGATTTGCTGGAAATATTCAATCGATCACTTCTTTCAAGTTTAAGTGTTTTGGTTTTTAACAGTCAAAAACGTGATTCCAAATTGTTAAATTGCAAATTTGATTCAGCAACCTTAAGTTTATTTGCTGAATTTTAGAGAACTGTCCATCCAAATCTGAAATTATGCAATCGATTACGTTTATTTCTAATTCATTTGTTTTATGCTTAAAAATTTTAAATTGCACATTTAAAATATTGAAAATCGTATGGCTGAAATTCGATTCTTCTATCTTACTTTAGTTGCTGAATTTTTAAAAAATGAGCAACTAAATCAGAAAACACGCTATCGAATACAATTATTTTAAATTCAAGTTTGTTTTTGAGTTAAAACCTCTAGGAAGACAGACGAAATGTTTCATAAAAGCTCAACTAGTGTTCTAAGAAAAATGATTAATCTCAAATTTGGAATTTAATCAAGTTTTTAAACTGAGTTAATTATTTCAGATGAAAAACAAACTTATACTATTTCTAATGCATGAGCTCACTAAACAAAATAAAAATTTGTGTATTGTAGTGTTTTTGCTGCAAAAATATAGTGCAAAAATATATATTTCTAAGAATATTTCAGTACCTGAGAGAACAGATACACCAGAGTATCACTTTACTGTATCTAGACTACAAAATGTACTAGGTTAGAATAATACTGTACTAGGTTAGAATAATATTATTATCCAATGCTGAGTCTTAGTCTGTGCAATTAAGTTACAAAATTATTTAAGATTTCTGCTTTACTATATTTAGGAATATTTCATTGCAAACTTGTCATATATATATATATCTGTGTGTGTATGGTAGTTCCCTTAAAAGCTAATCAAAAAATGTGTTTTTTTTATTCATTTATTTTGCAGTAAAGATAAAGAGTATTTAATTGCTGAAAATTGTTTTTCGTTTTTGCCTTGATTTGTTTAAAATGTTCATATGAAACAAAATGTACGAGAATAATAATGAATGAAATTGAAACTAGTTATTGTTACACAAGTTTAAAAAATTAATTTATGAGCTATATAATCACTTTAATTAGCTTTATATTTCTAGTTGTGGCAATGAGAAAATCTTATGATGCAATAAAATAATAACCTAATGAAAACTTGTACTACCAAGCATTAATCATATACTTATATACTTTGGACATACTTTTTATGACAAATAGTTTGAAAATTTTTTTTTTGCCAAAAATCGATTCCTTTACAAATTTAGATTGCTGAAAAATGGTTAAAATGTGGAATAAAAATATTTCTACAGATCTCAATAGCAGTTTATAGGTATTTTAAATACAGCTTGTCAATACTTGAAGGTATTAAATTTAGTTTACTTAAAAGTGTTAATTGGGACAAAAACTAATTATTTTTATTTCTTCCTCTTCTTGAGATTATATAAAACAGAATTTAAGATTAAATTGGCATAAAAATGAACTTCTAAATTAAATAAAAAAATAAATACAAAGTCTGAATCCTGAGTAACTGGACAACCAATTTTTTTCAAATTTTATACATTGTCTTTTAAAATGATATACTTCAAAACAATGTAAAAGTTTGTATACGTTAAAAATTAATGAATAATTATTAAATCTTATTTTTGGATAAATGAATGTTATGATTGTGCGTAAAAAAAATTTCTATTCAATTTTCGAGAAGTAGTGTGATACACAAAAAATAAAATTAATTTTCAGAGAACCAAATTTAATTCAGGTAACCAACTCAAACCGATCACTCTCCTGCCGTTACTCTATTCTGATTGAATTCTGTTTTCCAAATTGAGCTACCCAGCAAGTTTGCGTTGAAAAAAAGTACCCAGAGAAAGGACGTTTCGTAACTTAAAATATGGTCTGTGCTTATTAGTTAACATAATTGAGATTATGCCCTCGAAACATTGAGATTGAGTATACAATTATCATAATATTATTTAATAATGTTATGATAATTGTAGACTCATAACTGTAATTTTAAATGAAGAAATTTAAAATTTGAGCGAAATCGGTCGAATAATTTCTGAGTTTTAGAATTTAAAGAAAAGACATACTATTAAGATTATGCTTCTCATGAACTATTTGACCAATTTTGCTTAAAATTTGTATTTTGTATCGGATTGTCCCCTTTCCTCAGCTTTTTAGCTATGAAAATGCTGAAGGTGAGCAGAAAATAATAATAAATAAATATTATGAAGAAAAAAATATATTTTGAGTCTATTTCGAAGTCTAATATTTTGATAATTTCTCCTCGACTGATGGTATTTTGAATTGTGCGCCTAGTGGAAAATCCTTGCAAAAAAAGTGAGTCGTTTTCAAAACCAGCGGGAAAAAATAAATAGTTATCAATTATCAAGAAATATTAATAATTATACCTGAATGTTGACCGTGAAACTGGTTAAATAGTTTTCTTATTTATTTGTGAAGTAAAGCAGTCTCTGAGAATGTTTCTAAAAATAAATTAAAAATCATTCCTATTGAAAATACCTAGGTATAAATTATATAACTGTCAACTGAGTCACAAATCTATCGTTCTGAGTGTACTTCGTTCGTAAATCGATCACGTGTAGTGATCAGACACTGTTCATTAGATTTCCATTTTGTTTTTATCACATAATAGATCAATTCCTTATAAAGTGGTATAGGAATTTCGGTTCTCCTTATCTTTTAATTTTTTTTCGTACGTATCAAAAATTAAATTTTTACTCGTGACTAGGGAAATCTAATTAATATTCAAAAACAGAGCTATTGAAATTAAACACGAAATTGTGAATAGTTTGATTATTAATAATCTCGTGGAAACCGAATGAAAATCGGATGAATAGTGCCCGAGATCTGACGAGATGGAATTATGTATTTGCAAGCAGAACGTGATTGAAATTTGAAAATTCGTATGCACTGCACATGACATTCAAATTTATTGATCGAGTGATATCCTATAAAAGTTTAAATTCAGGAATATTTTAACATCTTTTTTTTTTCTTGCTATTTACTACAAGATTTCAGAAAAAAAAAATTAAGTCTATTTCTCATTTTCGTCTTCTTGAATATGGGTAAATATAAAAAACTGATATATGACCATAGCTAGTAATTTTATTGTATTTATTAATTTTTAAGCTTCATACATTTTATTTTATGACCGCCGTTAAACAGGTGACCTAATTTTGAGTTCACGACTATCAATGTTCAACTCCGTAGCCTTGTAATTTTGAACCCAATCCAGAAGATAAGAGACCTTTTAGAGCTAGCATTGGGACAAACTAGGCTTCGGTTTTTGATGGAACTCATCCACATTTGGTTTACATGGAGAGAAAAACCACGAAAATCTTTCACCGTTATCCTAAAGCCATGGGGATTCTAAACTATGATTCGTCTACTACCACTGAAAATATTTTGCGTACTCCAGTCGGGGCGAGCCGATAGCGGAATTCGTATCGATTAGGAATCGCTGGGATTCGAGCCTGGGCCATATTGGGCAAAATTATAAATTCTAACTGGCCAGTGGCCGGTTGTAGAATTTTTAATAGTCCATATTTTAAAATGTGTGGCCATTTGTTCAACAAAAAAAATTACTAAAAATCGTTGATATTATTAACGTAAGACATTTATTTTAAAACGTAAACGCATACTTCTTAAAATATGGTAAGCACTATGAATTTCATTTCTATAATGAAAAAAATGTAAGAAACAAGTGTGAAACGGTGTAATTTTCAGGACATTGCAAAATTGCATATTTTTATAAAAAGATAAAGAAGGGGTAAATTTTTGACAAAATTTCTTCCATTGGGTAGTGACAGGTATACAATTCTTTACTCTCCATTTGTTATATTTTGTTGCCCTGTGGCCGATGGTGACCGTTTATTTTGCCCTATACTGGGTCACCTCATTGTGGAGCGAGCGCTCAATCCCCTGAGCCGCCATTGAGCTACTGCCCCAAGCTTCATGCATTGCATAAAAAAGGCATTAGATAAAAAGGCTTAGACATTTCATAAGAATATCCCGTTAAAAACCATAATTTTTTATCCAGATGAATAGATCGAACCACGTTCCACATTGATGAATTGACGTACACATTGATGAATAGATGAATATCCAGATGGATAGACGTTCCACATTGTGTTTCGGGGGGTAATTTTAGACGAAAACAAAAGGTTTTTATATATTAAAACATTCCTCTTTTTAGATATCGTTTAATCATTTCTTCCAAAGAAAAGGTATAATAAACAAAAATACTATATATTTTTTTTTAAATTAATTATTAAATCAAGTTTTCGTGTATTCATTAAGCAAACTTATTTGAATTTATT